GAGACAGCGGGGTGCGGGGTGCGGGGTGCGATTGCCGCGCCGGGGGAGAATCTTCCACGTGTCGCTGCGCGTGCTCCTGTGGGGCGCTCACTGGTCCCAAATGCTCTTCTTCTCCAGCTCCCACTTAGCGTCAGACGCGGAAAGACGAGCCCCCCCAGACACATCCGGCCCCAGAGACTCGGAAACAACGTTCTCAAAGAAGAGTCTAGGAAGGAACTGTTCTTTACATGTACCTATTACAGCCCTCGCCCCGGGAGTCCCGCCTACCTCCTCCTATCCCTCAGCTCATACCCCAATCTAGGTTGCTTTTCTATCCTGGCATACTTCTCACATCGCATGTAATCAATTCCCCGGAGACACCCATAGCTCTGGTTTCCTCATACACCCACCCGCTTCACACGCTAACAACCCTCGCACAAACAATTCCCACCCACGTTCGCACCTGCCACCGCCCCCCCCCCCGTAGTCCCACACAGCCCTGATAGTTGCACTGCTTTCTTGTGGAAATCCTTCAAGCTACGCCCTGTGTTTGTCAATCAGGTTGGTGACAGAATAAAAACAGACAAGTCAATAAATCAAGTCGAGAAACAGTTGCAATGTTGTCATCAGCAGCCCCTTACTCTCTCAGGGCTCCAACACTGCTCTGATGCCCAGGTGTGTGGCGTTTTGTCTTAGAAACGAAGCAGAGTTTTGTAGCCCTGAAGCTAAGGCCAACAGGTTTTTTTGTTTTTTTTTTTTTTAATGCTTTACCATACCATGGTACTGGCTCTGCATACTACCTCTGTGTCTCTCCACTTTTATAGTTGCTTATGGTTGTTTATGAGATAGGGCCTCGTATTGTAGCTGGCCAGGAATTCCCTATAAAAGCTCAGTCTGGTTTAAACTAGCCATCCTCTGCCCCAGTCTCCAGAGAGGGCTGAGTTGATGGACTAGCACCACCTTTTGTATGAGCAGAGAATCAGGTAAGTCTCCAAAGAGGAGTGAGTTCGAAGCTGGGGGAAGAGAGTGTGATGGAAAAACAGCAAATCTATTATTCCTATGATTCCAAATTTCAAATATAGCTGGGCGTTGGTGGTGCACGCCTTTAATCCCAGCACTCGGGAGGCAGAGGCAGGCGGATCTCTGAGTTCGAGGCCAGCCTGGTCTCCAGAGCGAGTGCCAGGATAGGCTTCAAAGCTTCCCAGAGAAATCCTGTATCGAAAAACCAAAAAAAAAAAAAAAAATTCAAATATGTTGAATTTCTGCTGTGTGCAAATTCTTATATATATATGAATTCTCATACAGTAATGTGACCCATGATCTCCTGGGGTAGGGGTGCCTTGTTACATTGCAGATTATTATTTTTGCAGGTCTAGCTGGGGGTACTCCCAGGTCCAAATGCTGTTGTACCCCAACTATACATTGGGTAGTAGGCTTGTAAAAAACACTGCAAACTGTTGCTCCATGGGGTATAATACAGAAAATAAGATGTTTACATTCCAGAATGTACGGTTTAAAATATTAACTAATGATGTCAAGGTGAGCAAGAGAAATGACAGACAGGTACCTGAGGATATTCTAGTTAATCCATATGAAAGGGTTGCCACAATCCCCAAATGTGAAAGGGTGGAGAAGTCATTGGCCAGTAGTCAACAGCTGTATGATCTAGCCAGCTATATGGGCAAGACAATGCCCCCGGTCCTATCCTAGACAATGTAATAATAATTGTTGCTGTGAAAATTAGGGGTGATGAATGATATGAGCTAGCTTGTTTGTGACTGGCCCTTGTTATGTGGCCCTGGCTAGTCTGGTAGTCACTTTGCAGTCAGGCCTGCCCTCAGTTTCATGGCAATCCTGTTGTCTCAAGCTCCCAAGTGCTGGGGTTACAGCTATGAACCATGAGGGGCGCATGGTGATATGTGGTGCTTAGAATGAGAATGGCCTCCATAGACTCATATGCTTTTTGGTAAGGATTGGGAGGTGTGGCCTTGTTGGAGGAGGTGTGCCACTGAGGGTGGACTTAAGGTTTCAAAAACCCATACAGGCCCAGTGTGCCCCCCACCGCCCCACCTCTGCTTTCTGTTCCGCCTCTGCTTGTGGATCAGGATGTAAAGCTCTCAGCTACTTCTCAAGCAACATGCCTGCCAGCCTGCTGCCATGCTCTCCGCCATAATGATAATGAACTAACCTTTAGAAACTGTAAACAACTCCACAATTAAATGCTTTCTTCTGTAAATTGTCTTGGTCATGGTGTCTCTTCACAGCAATAGAACAGTGACTAAAACAAGCTACACACAAATAATCCCAGTACTTGGGAGGTTTGGGGAGGTTGAAGCCACAGGATCAGGAGTTCAAGGACATCATCTTGATAAGGAATTTGTGGCCACCCTGGGCTGTCTGAAACCCTGTCCCACAAACAAAAGCAAACCTATAATGCTGGGCATGGTGGCACACCACTTTAATCCCAGCACCTGGAAGACAGAGGCAGGAGGATCTCTGTGAGTTTGATGCCAGCCTAGTCTATATATTGGGTTCCAGGATAGCCAGGGCTACGTAACAGAGAGACCTTGTCTCAGAAAACAAAAACAGAACCCTGTAAAATACAGTGACCATGCCTATAATCTAGCACTTGGAGGCTATGCCAGGAGATTCCCTTGATGAATTCAAATCCATCCTGGGAGACTCTGTTTAAAAAAACCAAAAAGGTTGGAGCTGAAGGGATGAAGGGCACTTGCTGCTCTTCCAGGAACTTTGGTCTCATCATCCACGTCAGGCAACTCCAGTTCCAGGGGCTCCCACTCCCTCTTCTAGCTTCTGTGGACATGTGCACGTGCGCGCGCGTGCGCGCGCCCGCACACGCCCGCACACACACACACTAGATCTTTTAAAAAAGATATTCTAATATAGCTTAATAATAAATGTTAAGAGAAAAAGAACCTCTCAGTAGAAAGATAAGACACACCCAAGAGCATGGGTGTGGGTTTCTCAAAGGAGAGCTGAAGAAGCAAGACATCCCCACGTGTGGGTACAGGCTCCTGTAGGCTCTCCAAGACAGAGTCATGCTCATCACTTTTGGTGGCTCCTGTCCCCTCCCCCCATAATCATATATAGGATTTTGTCAGGGTTTGAAGTTACCATATTCAAAGAATTGCTAAGAAACCCAATTGAGACCACAAGGTGTCTCTCATCTGGGGCCCCTTAAAGGATTATAATTGATAAGGTAAAAGTCTCGTTCACAAGGATACATGAATGTAGGATAACTTTACTATGAACAAAGCAGGCAGTCCTGCTAGGGATTCTCTGGAGACATCTGGGGACATGCATGAGGGCCTCTCAAGGTCATATACATGTTATTACTGTAGCATAAAGTATCCAAGTATGACAGGGAGATTAATACCATGTTGGCAGCCTTTACAGAAAATCTTGTGTTGGAATTTTTTAACATTTAAAAATTGTGGTGTGTGTGTGTGTGTGTGTGTGTAGGTTAGAGTTTGTTCTCTCCTTCCACAATTCTACCAAGAATTGAACTTATATCATTAGCATTGGTGGTAGGAGCCTTTGGAAGCTTCAATCAGAGTCTGGGTGAGGAAAATTTTCTTGTTTTCCCCGAGTCATCATATGTTTCCCTGTCTTTCTACACTCCTGCAAGATTTGGGTAGATGAAATAAAAGGTGAAGGTCCTTTCCAGTCCAGGAGGGCATTGCGAGTCAAGCAAAGGCATAGAGGTGGAAATAGCATGATATGTAGACTGTATCCTCAGGGTGAGGGTGGAGGGTAGAGGTGGGAACATCATGATACATGAACATTCTTCACAGCATGAGAGTGGACAGTAGGTATTCACAAGGTGGAAGTGGAGGGTAGGAACAGAGGTGGGAACAGCATGATATACAGACAGTATTCACAGGGCTGAAGGTGGAGGGTAGGAATAAGGTTATTTAGAAAGGAGACAAGATATCACAGAGGTAGGGGGATAGATCATGACATTAAAATTATGGTACAGGGCTGGAGAGTTGCTTTTGTAGAGGACCTGAATTCAATTCTCAGTAACCACATGGCAGTTCACAACGGCCTATAAGTCTAGTTCCAGGGGATCTGATCCCCTCTTCTGACTTCTAAGGGTTCCTGTACACACATGGTGCACATACACTCAGGCACACACAGACATCCTCATAGAGACAAATATATTTTTAAAATTGTCAAGCTGGATGTGATGGCTCACATCTTTAATCCTGGCATTCTGGAATCAGAGGCAGGCAGATCTCTGTGAGTTTGCAGCCAACCTGAACAAGACCCAGAGCAGCCAAAGCTGCACAGTGAGATACTATCAAATTTTTTTTTTAAAAAAGGAAGAAAAGAAAAAAGCAAAAGTAATTTCTCTTCCGGGGTAGGAGAAATGGCTTCATACTTAAGAGCACTGGCTACCCTCCTAAAGAACCTGGGTTCAGTTCCCAACAACCACATGGAAGCTTGTGACCCTTTGGGACTCTAGTTCCAGGGGATCTGACACCCTCTTCTGGCCTCCACAGGTGTGACACATGCACATGGGGAGCAGGCATTCATGCCTGTCTTAGAGTTTTATTATTGTG